ATGGAAGGAGTTTGTTTCATGCCAGAGATATTCCCCAAATCAGAAATCTCCTGCATGAAAGGAATGACGCCTCTGCTGCTTGAGTTGTGTTTGCTGAACTGAACCCTGCACCCTGCATTTCCACAGCTTCCCTCACAAGTACTGCGTGTACTGACATTTCAGGAGAAACAAAACACTCTGACATAGCTCTGCTGAGAGTCGGGCTTTCATTCTGGCAAGGAAAAGGACCTCAATTCAATTGTATCCAAACGAGGCTTTCTTTTTCCCCTCCGAATCTTCATTTCTGCTATTGAAACACCAACAAAAAACTCGATTATACGCACAGCCCAAGTTAGGAAATGTAAACAACTTTTCTTTTCTTGTTGGAAGAGGCCAGACAGGCCGACTTCACACATACACCCACACAGGAAAGGCTGAGACCTTCAATCTAATCCTTCCATCAAGGGCTTGTAATAAATGCTCCAAAGATTTATTTTTATTCTCTTTTTTGTTTATTAAACTTTGGAGGGTTTCTTTTCCTTTTTCTTTTCTTCCTGGTGCTTTGCCCATTCTTTATTACAGCAGCTACAAAACATGGAATGCCCTTTTCTTCTCGCCCTCTCTTTTTTCCCCTCCTCATCTTTCTAACTGCAGCACATGAATGACCAAATAGTAGGCTTTGAAGCAGCACACGCAAATATTTACAAGAGTATCTTGATTGTTATTAAATGCAGTTGTTATGCTTTCCACGCTCTGGCAAGCTTCCCTAACCCCTCTAACTATTAGAACCATTTAGGCTGTTTAGATTTCAGCTAACTGATAGCAATTCCTACAATTCTTCTTGTAACAAGCAGTATAATGTGACGTTTCTCTCCCTGTGTGAATTTTACTCACTGCTCAACACAGAGCTGCCTTTAAGGACAAGGTAAGGGAAGAAGCATGAGCAAGACTGCTGGAAGGATGGGCAGCTTGTCAGCTGCAACGACACATCATTCCAGCAGGATTGCATCCGTCCTGTCAGGCACACTTGGGTCACAAATCCTCCCCTTTTTTCCAGGGAAAGTCTCTCCAAGAAATTAGAAACTTGTCTAATGCATCTAGGCTCCCAAAGCCCAGAGATAATTACTTTGCTCACCCCTCCTGACCCTGATGTGGCTGCAGAATCCTGCTGGAAACTGCCTCTCTGCAATGAAAGGGGATATGTAAATACAGTGGACCAAATTATGGAGGCCTACAGGTTATATTTGCAAACTGGGATCAGCCCTCAGAGGTAAATCAGTTGTACATCAACTTTCCATTAGCTCTGAAACTCTATCCTGCTGTGACATTATGAACACATCCATGAGCTACTCAGCGCTCTTGGACAGAAACACTTGTGCTCAGAGATCACTTCCAGCCTCTCGCAGCAAGTCTTCAAAGTCAAGCAGCACAAGAGGAGTGCAAGAGACTCACTCCAATATTCCAGTTGTTACCTACAAAGCTGCCAACAAGCTATTACCTTCATCTGTCATCAACCATGTGCTATTAAGGAGGAACACTGCACTGAATGTCAGAAAGGCCCAATGGCTCTGAAGCAGCTTTTCCCGCAGAACAGGGCGTGCATGCACCTAAAGCACAATATAAGACATGATACCTGTTATTACACCTGCTTTTGCTGGAAAACTCATACCAGAAACTGGCTGCTAGGAACCGTTCACTCAATAACCCCTGAATACATAATTTATCCATGTAAAATGCTCCCAACTGCGATGTGAACCATGTGCAGATGGTTCACAATTCCATATTTCCCAGTAACTTCAGTCTTGGTATTTGCTGCATGTGGATATGCCGAGACTTAACAAGAGGAATAGGCATACATAAAGGAAGACAGAGCTTTCTTTATCAGAGAAACAGACAGAAAGGGAACAGGCTGGGGACCCAATTGCTGCATGACCCTTCTGAGCATCAGAACAACTGAAGACTGAAACCAGAAGCTACTTCCCTCTTTTACCATGAACACTGACCTCTGGACCTGTTAGTAAGCAATCACTTCCCCAGCAGTCACATTGGGAAGCCTCAACAGAGCTTCACTAAGACAGTGGAATTTAGAGTCTTGAGGTGATTTCCCTTGGAGATAACCCAAATAAATAAAGCCTCACTCCTACAGGGACTCCTACTGCAGCTCTTCAAGCATGACTTTCTTTTACCAATTACACTAACAGTAGCCAAGCCTGAAGATGTTTTCTTGTTTTGGTAACTACTTTTTATTTCAGTTAACATATTTTCCAC